GCATGAGCTGTTTGAAGTTCTGCTTCCAAATTGAGGGTGGACCGGCTCTGGATGCCTGGTAGGGATATCACGCGATGAATCATTGGACGGTCTCGACTTCCTGTCAGCCGTAAGTATACCGACCCAGGCTACTTCAATGCAGCTTTCATCTATCAAAATAAACCACTCGTAGTAATCAACAATGTCCCGGTCCAACTCGCGACAGAACATCATACTCCTCTTGCGAAGCACCCCAACAACATAAGAAATAATTTTGATGCAAAGCATTCTGTTGCCAAGTCTAATTTGGAAGCCGTTCTACAAATTTGGTAATAGAGTACCTCGTAGTAATTCCCTCTGTTGCAAAGTCATTATATTGCAAAGTAACAGGTATTTAGATGTTCTATCCGTAGATTAGAAACAGCCAGGCCGTTTTTACCGACGGCGCTGACGACCACCTTCCATCTTTTCCCTCTTCCCCTTTCACAATTAGAGGGAGTCCTTTCAGTGCAGTAGAAGATCCTGTATTCTGCGGAGTCGAAGAATAAGAAGTATGCTCACGGCATGATCACACTCAGTAGAACGAAACACGCCAGAAGCACAGACTCTCACGCCCGTCCATAGCAGCAACGGTTTGAATCGTCCGCACTAGGTTTGCATGCTCCTGTAAATGACATTGTTGTTTTTCTCCCCATGCGAGCCATGTCCACATACTCCAAATCACCGGCGCTCGGATTTGAAATCATTGCCAAATGCTCCGTCAGTCAAGCATCTCTTCCATTCAACATTTCCCTTGCAAAAAAACTTTACCCTGTGTCCACTGTTCGAACGCTGACCATCCATGTTTTGATGGAAGACCACCAAAGCCCGCGCTTCGGTCCTCACGCTTCCCCATGGCCCCGTACTGCTCCCTATGTTCATGCCAGTTGCTACCCAAGCCTCGCTCAAGGGCCTGACTCCTAAACAATTGGCTCAGACTGGATGTAATCTCTGTCTCAATAATACATACCATCTGGGACTCAAGCCGGGACAGGAAACGCTCGAAAAGATTGGCGGTGCACATGTCCTGCAAGGATGGAATGGCAACATCCTAACGGATAGCGGTGGGTGAGTTTTCATTCTTAATCCATACTTTGAAAGACCATGTTTTCTCCTTTGTTCGATCGACCGCGCTTTCTGACCTAATTGATCTCATGATAGATTCCAAATGGTGAGCCTACTGAAGCTCGCCAAGGTCACCGAAGAGGGTGTGCGCTTTCTAAGTCCGCATGATGGAACCCCAATGTAAGCAGTATATCAGAATCTTCCGCATCGTCCCTTGAGTGACAGCCCCAAGGTTACTGACTCCCGAACATTCAATCTCCCTCCAAAACACCATAGGCTCAGACATCATAATGCAACTCGACGACGTCATAGCGACCACATCTCCAGACGCGGAGAGAATGAGAGAAGCAATGGAGCGATCTATCAGATGGTTAGACCGCTGCATAGCCGCTCACAAGAAGCCCGAGACCCAGAATCTATTCTGCATCGTTCAAGGGGGTTTGGATCTTGAGATGAGGAAAGTATGTTGTGAGGAGATGGCAAGGAGAGGTACGCCTGGTGTAGCTATAGGTGGACTATCCGGTGGAGAGGACAAAGTTTCTTACTGCCAGGTGTACGGCTGATCGAGAACCTACGGTGTCGGGAAACGAGCTGAACGTGAGAAACCCAGTGTGAACGCCTGCACAAACTGGCTCCCACCGAATAAACCTCGCTACGTGATGGGCGTCGGCTACCCCGAAGACCTCCTCGTCTCCGTCGCCCTCGGAGCGGACATGTTCGACTGTGTCTGGCCCACCAGAACCGCCGTACGTATTCCCCCCCCCCGACCCTCGACCTACTGACGTCCGACTCCGCCAGCGCTTCGGCAACGCCATAGTCCCAACCGGCACCCTCAACCTCCGCCATGCATCTTTCGCCAACGACTTCGCCACGATAGAAGCGGACTGCACATGCCCATGCTGCCGGCCAGAAGAAGAGGGCGGTCTCGGCGTCACGCGCGCCTACGTCCATCACGTTGCCTCGAAGGAGACGGCCGGTGCTCATCTGTGCGTGCCACCCAACCCCCTCGACGGCATCTTCTTCGGTCGGAAACCGCACACGCGCAGGCAGCTCACCTTGTTCCTGCGTAGACTGACCATGCACAATGTGCATCACGTGCTCTCCTTGATGGGCAAAGCGCGAGCGGCCATCGTCGCGGACCGATATCCGGAATTCCTGCGTGCTTATTTCCGCAGGGCGTATGGGGGCGACGTGACAAGAGTGCCAATGTGGGCGGTGACGGCGTTGGGCGAGGTCGGCGTCGATCTTCTCACGTAGCGACGATCAGGCAGCATGCTCAGAGGAATCCGGCCAATACGATTGCTCGAAGACTTGAACGGACGGTACCCGTGATGCAAAGTGGAGGTTGCTCTATGAAATCATATGTTTGGCTGAGAAGACAACGATGGTCCCCAGGCAAGCATATTTTACAGAACAAGAGACCCATCAATTACGATCCACGAGCAATGCATTTTCCGGGTATCTACCAATCCCTTGTCTAAAACCACACCCGAAGAAGATACAATTTCTCAGACCACGTTGCCCTTCCCTAGACTCACCGCGAAGGAAAATGCAATCTCCCCACACACCGAACATATGCCCTTCCCTAGATTCGCCGCGAAGTGAAATGCAATGTCCCCAGCAGGTGGGTGCCCTTTCTCAAACCCCAAGTCGTCTCAATCCCAAAGCACAATGTCCCAAGCAATTTGATCTCAATCCCAGAGTACAATTTCCTCAACCAATCTGTACCTCTCCTTTGTCCACCATCGTCCCTTATCGTTTACCACCCCACCACCCTCCCTTGCCCTACAGAGCCCATGACACCATTCCCCCGCCCCAGCAGTTTCTGCAGAGCAGCCTCTGCCGCATCTTCCTTCGCAGTGTTCACGTACTGCCCATCGTACCAGTAGCGAGCCGGGATCGTAAGCCCGGAGACGGTGATGTGGCAGGACCAGGCGGTACGCTTGCCTCGACGGTCGGAGAAGACTTTGTATTCTGGGGATGAGAGATGGCGTTGGGAGCAGTGGGCTAGAACGTGATGTTAGAAGTGGGTCCCCATCAAGCCTTGAGAAAGAGCTCGTTGAGAAGGGGGTTAGAATGCTAGGGTCCAGGAAACCAGATGGTTTGGGCTGAAGCTCTCGTTGGCCTGTGAAGTTGTATAGGAAAAGGCAATGGGTTCTGCGGACCTTGAAGTCTGTCTTGCCAGGTTGAAGAGCGTTGAGCAACGCCGGAACCGGTGGATCCAGCCGAGGATGATGCAGTTGACATCGTCGGTCGAGCGTATAGCGTAGATGCTGAGGACGGCTTTTCTCTGATGAATGAAGGCGAGTAATATTGGTACATTGGAGTTGAAATTGATGGATGCCCTAACGCAGAGGCTGGTAAAGTGGGATGAAGGGATACAGGAAGGTAGTCGAGCAGTTGTTCGGGAATCCGGGTCGAGCAAGTGAATAGATTGAAACAGAGGCGGTGAAGGTCTCTTAAGTGTTACAAGAAGGAAAGGATAAGTTGGTAAGGGTTCCGGTACAGAGATACAGACGGCAAAACGAGTTGATGAGAAGGGCAACGCAAGATGAGGGAGAGACACGAGAGGAAGGCAGGCGTGAGGCAATGGTCTGATGGCGAAGAGGACTAGATAAGAAGCACATGCATGGTTTTGCATGGTCGTGTACTAAATGTTTGAGACATGCGTGATTCGAAGCCCTCTGGGTTTGGGCTGGATGCTGGCTTTCCTGTCGACCACATGGGTCAATCATGGACGGAACCAACCGTTCGGGATTTTCCCACGGGCCGAATCAGGTGTATGGAGAACCCAAGGGATGTGCTGGCAACAGTGGTAACATCTTTGCGGAATTATAGAGCAGGAGAGAACGAGGCGGATGGCATTGGTGGGACCGGGGGACCCGGTTCTTGGGCCGAAAAAGGGTAAAGACGGCCGTTGCAGGGTAAAAAAGAAGTCAGATATGGACAGGTGCAGGAGTCAAAACTATCTGGTTCTATGATTCGTAGCTGAAAGAGACGGCTCGAAAAGTTGGGCGTGGGTGTCGAGAGTTGTTCCTTAGCCATGGTGGCTCTTCATTGAATACCAAACCCTTGGAGCGCTAGGTCGCTAGAGCATATGCTTGTCCCGTAGGATGCTGACATGTGCGGAATTATGCTGTACCTATCAAACGGATTAAAGGTGACGGATCTCCGTCAATTGTCGGTGTGGGATTGTGTAAAGAAAATGAGTCGCGGGGGGGAGGGAGAATTGGGGGGGGGAAGATGGGGAAAGATGGGAATCGTCGGGGAAAAAGGAGGGATAATAGTTAAGGCAGCCGCGCAGATCGATTCGAATTTCGCGGTGAGGCTACTTGTAACAATGCGTCTAGACGTGTCTCAGCTGGTAGGCAAACTTGAGACCTCCCACACGTAAATAGACGTTACGAGGCTCTGAAAGCTGCTGTCTCGGGCTGCGTTGGGCTGCAATGACCGGAGTGTGATGAGATGACGTTGAAAGCACTTCTATCAAAAAGCGCTCGATGCCTTCCGCTTGCTGGGATGGGTTTTCAATTTTTCATTCAGGCACGGTAGTCATGTAGATATGTAGATATGTAGATATTTACCCTCATAATCCACATATTGATACATCTGAGTGCCTCCGGTTAGACCGGAACGTCAAAAAAGATGCAACTTAATTAGAGCCGAGCCGGTTTAGCAATCTACAAGTATCTGAGCACAGACAATCTCAGCCAGGCCTGACAGCTGAACTATCTGGTCACATCGTAATATATGAACTGCAATGCTCCAGTATAAATCTCTCGCCAGGCTTAGTCTACAGGGTATAATAAGACATATCATATCAATAAGGCGAGTCAAAGGGATTGCAATTGCTACCTATCCTAGCACCCATGCCACCGAGACAAGATCCAAGACCAGATATCAAACCGTAATTCAAATCAGCATGTCATCTCTCGTAAGGGAGTCGGACGTCGGGCAGTGGTCTTCTCCTTACGGTTAAATACTTCACTCATCAGACGCTTGGGTGTCACATAATCCATGTTCAATCTGAGTGGGGATTTCGTGACCATTGGGACAGTCATTTGCATACGGCTCTTTTGATGCCACCGACGCTTAATGCAGTCGTCCACCAGGGCAACCAGACCGGATGCCATGACCACACTGGACGAATTTAGTACTATGCCTTCAATATGGAAGGGATTGTCTACTCACTCGGCGAGATCTGTCGATCTGTCGAGCACCGAGTCCTCGAGATACATACTACAGGGCGGCACCCACCCCCCTTTTGCAGTCTCTTCCCGTTGTTGTGACTCAGTCAGGGGGGCCTGTACAATATGTGCCAAAGGAGCTAAGGTCTTCGTGTTGATGAAGTGGTACGAGACTTCTTCGAAACGGCTTGATACGGCGACAGCTCGCTTCCAGGCATACTTGATGCCCCAGTACTCAATCTCATACCGTTTGAACGTCTTGGTCCCTCGACGTTCGATCTGGAGATGTGCGTAATTCGAGAATTCAAGTTGCGTGGTATTCGTTGGTATAGGAATGCTGCTCGAGGGTCTTGGTGACTGGCTAGCTATATCTCCCCCTATGTCGTCTTGGTGCGAGGAGCCATAGCCAGAGTCATGCCTTCTAAAGCTCATCGTTGTAGATGTCTTGCTCTCAGATTTTGACCGCAAGCTTGAGAAAGCGTTGCTCATTGACCGCTGGAGTCCGGGCCTTCGTATGACAGATGGCTTGGTGTATTTCCTACTTGAATGGCAGACCTCTCGCCCAGAGTCTCTGGAATATCTCCGGAGAGAAAATTCCCGACGCTTCAAGTCATGCATGCGCAGGTGGAAGAGTTGGAGGTCGGTCTTTCCTCCGTCCAGTGTCCGAGCCTCGGTGTCGATGCGCAGATTCATGTTGCCATCGATCGTGGTATCATCGTGCCTGATGGAGAGCATTTGCGTAGAGGGAAAGTACTCGGCAAATTCCTCCGGCGAAGATGTAAGAGCTGTAGACGGGAGAGTCTCCGATGGATAGTCTGAGACTTCGGGTACCTCAAAAGGTGGCAGGTCATCAGCTGGATCTTCGATTGATGAAGCGGTAGATGCGTAGGTCTCTGCTGAAATCCTAGGTTCGGGGTAATCGAAATGCGCAAATTGCGCTTCGTCCCAGCTATCTTGGTCGTGAGGGTTGCCGATGGTCTTATACTGCTGTATCGTTGGTTGCTGGCTGTTTACTGTTGTCGCAGTGCTTACGGAATAATTCGAGTTATCGCTATAGTCGGACCTTGAGCTACTATTGCTGTACATCGACTGTGTCCGCAGTGTTCGGGACGGCATGATGTAAACTCTTGTGAGTATTCTGTTAGAGGGAGCGTCTAGATAAGTTCTTTGATCGATGAGGATAGTTGTCTTATGTAAAGGCAATGACAGACTGCCAGGAATCTGTCAGTCAAGCAGTTCATCGCCTACAAATATGCATGCAGGTCCATATTAAGGAACGACGTAGGCTGATTTTTAGTGGGTGATATGTCTGGAGGAAGATGTCAACATTGCTGATGCCTGGTGGGCGTAAATCAGTCATCCCACGGGTCATCCCACGTCCCACGAGGAATTTCCCGGTGTCGGATAATTCGAACCTTAATCTTACCATTGGTGTGTGCCATGGAAGCTCTAAAGTATCGGGAGAGCTAGGTAATCGCTCAATAATAATCCTGCCCAGAAGCTCATAATGATAATAATAAACCTGTAATGATAATGATACTAATGATAATAATAATAATAATAAAATAATCCCCGCAGACCAAGCCCCAAGACCTTTGCCCCCTCAGCCCCACGCCTTCCATCAAAAAAGAAGAGGGAAAAAAGAGAAAAAAAGTGCCCGACTGGACTTTTCCTCTTTGTCCCTCAGCCTTGGCACGCACAGAGCCAGAGATGACGCCCCGAGGCTTTCTCCTCGCTCCGCAGCTGCATCATTCAACGGCTTTGCTTCCTGCAAGTACACACTGCATAAGCGCTACGAAACAGGAGATGGTACTACATGCATCATCGTGTCACGCCGGCATTGCATCGATCCAGCAATCTCTCAAGCAAATCCGCGCGCAACGAGCTTTCCCTCTGCCATTCGGGGACCCCCGAGCCGGCCTGCAGCATTTTGACGCATTTTGTCACCAGACTGCACTCGGCCGGACGTAACACTGACGGAACAATTTTACTAGGGTCGAAAAATCACACGTGCCAATGCACCAACGGTCTCATTGCTTCCAGTGCTTGAACGACACTGTGGGAAACCATCCTGGTCGAATTTGTAGGAAAGCAACTTGCCTCTAGGTCCTACGCCAGGGGATCATTCCTTCTCTACGCCGAGTGGCTGCCTTATCATGGCCTTGTAAGGAACTGCAACGGTCGTCGGGTTGGATCGTCAAAGGATGCGAAGGTGAGGCTGCAGATTTTGCTGGAAATTTTAAGCAGTGAAGAGCAGCTGCGCCCAGTCCATCCGCTTCCCACCATCGCGACTCCGCTTTGCTAAACGTACAACGCTTTCTGTAGCCTTCTATTGCTATTCAACCACAGACGGTGCCTCTCCCATAAACTTGCTGCTGAACAAACCGCTGCCAAGAGTCTGCAAGTATTCGATCGCCGGAATGCATTCGAAAGATCAATAGACACTCGCTACTTTCATTTCATGTACCCTAGGACTGATTCACTCGTTGGGTTCTTCGTGGTGAAACGTGGGGACATTGTCCTCTAGAGTGGGAACATTGAGCCCAAAATCTCGGCGTCCCCGTCGCTGTTACACTCCGCGTCATAGTAGACGTCGTCATCTTGTGAAGCAGCAGTGCTGACTGCAGGGGATGGGGGTGTAGACTTGCTCGGTGGTGGACTCAAACAATGTTTTTGTTCGCTGCCGTTGGGTGATGCCTGCTTGTTGGTGATATCCGCCGGCTCCTTCGATGTCGAGTCTTGGGCGGCTTGGGAGGGGTGGCGCTGCAAGGCTCAGACTTGGCCGTTGGCCTCATAAAGCTGCTTTTCAGCAACAACATGTGCGTCCTCTTCGTTTCGGAATGTCCAGCCGTCTTCTTCTTCTCTCAGCTCCGCCGCTTCCAATATCGACGTCGATGCGTGCTTCTCTCGAAGTGACTTAAGATCTGCGTAGATATCGGAATCAGCATAGATTTTTGAGGGCAAGAACACGAGTCAGAGGGCAAATCTGTGGGGTGGGAAGGATGTTTTCATTTTAAAGACATGATTTATAACCAGAACCATAAGACAAGTCTGAAGAGTAGATACGGTTTCTTTGCTCCGGAGACAGAAGTTGGAACCCGAAAAGCAAGACGAAGTTTTAACATAGGAAGCATATTCTTCTCTGGAAAAGCGGCTTACGACCCGATTTGTAGGCCACATAGAAACGATTAATTTTAGAATGTACGTACCTTGTCTCGACGCATTGGCAGCCTTTTTGGTCTTTTCCGCGGCTCTGCTTGTCTCGGTTGCGACTTCGAAGGCTCGGTTGGCTTCCTCCTCAGCTTCGACGAGCTGAGCCCTGATCCTCTCTGCTCTGTTTGTCTTTCTCTTAACTTTATCTTTGGCTTTGACCGCCTCAAGATAAGCTCTCGCATCGGCTAGATCTCGCCGCAGTCTGAAATCTGGCCTTTCGGTCTTGTCAAATTCTTCCTGCAAGCGTCTGACGTTCCTAATCGCCACACGGGTGTTCCATTCTGTCATGATGGGCAGATGATGGACAGGTGATGGACGTGAAGGGGAAGGGTCCTAGGCGTTGACTGAGATGTATCATGCATATGTATGTATGGATGGATGGATGGATGGATAAATGGATGAAGAGGGAGTTGAGGCGGTATAATTGTGAGTGCGATGGGTTCTGAGTCGCTGATCGAGATGGAGAGGTGACGGAGGACGTGTATGATGCGTGTGTAAGTGGAGAAAAAGAAGACTGAGTATAAGAATGAGATAATAGACAAAATGAAAGAGAAGGGAGCCGTGAACTAACGTCGAAACCCTATGTAATAGGAAGTGCGAGCCTTGAACAAACGTCTTGGCCCTATACGACAGGTCGTCGATGGAGGGAGAAAAGAGGAGTTCCGTCAACGTCTGGATTAAGTTGCTCTGGTAGGGGTGGTAACGAAACATAAGGTAGCCTTGGCGAAGTTCACCACGGGATTTGAAATTGCCATGAAGAATCGCCTAGTAATTACCTTACGCTGTAACTGTTTCATCCTCGCGTAAGGTAGGTGACTCAATTGAATTGCCGATGCAAGCATCCAGTCTTGAAGTTGGAGCCTGCTTCCTCCGACTCGACGAAGCATTCCTCCACACGATTGCGCACACTGGTGAGGACCATTGCCATGGTATCAGGTCAAGCCCAGAGGCGATCCTTGACCTTCGGAAGGCTGTCTCTGATAGCAAGGAAATGGGTTGCCAGCCCAAGCAGTCAGGATGCCTACCCACATTACAGACCTTTGAACTAAACCGTCAAATGAAGTAGATAGATTGGCTTGTGCATATGATAGGCATGAGCTTGAGAAAGATCAGACGAGAAGACCGAAGTAGCTCGTACATACCAATCCAATGTTCCCGTCACATTTGGGGATCATCCCCACCACCGGCTCGCTTTGAGCTCGCCACCGCAATCTTTTTCCATCATCAGGGACTACCGGCTGTCTGCAAAGATGGGTATACTATGGATCTGATCGAATTTGGGAGCACCGGGACGGTTGGCTACCCTCAAAGGATTGCTGCGGCTCTGACGGGACTACCAGCTGCCAATGATCGTGTGCCGGTACTCTTATCGTGACAGTGATGGTCAGCTACCCGCTGGTGGTGCGCCGGTGCTCTCATCGCGTTTCACTGAAACTATCATCTGCTTCAATTGGTAGCCTCTCGTTATCTAGGACTCATAAAAACCGATTAGCTACCTTAGTTGGTATGTGGGTTCTTTCGAGCGATTGGACCGAATGAAAGATAGGATCTGTAGATAGGATCTGTGGGGTGGGTCTACAGGTCACATTTATAATGAAAGCATGGTAATGAAACAGACCAATCCCGGCGCCGTCCTCAAAGAGTCGTATAAAAAGACCGCCAAGCGGAGAGAGGTGATTGATGCGAGGCTGACTCTTTGTGAAGATACTGTACCTCGAGGCCATCAATATCCCGTTTCAGCAGTTGCCGCCCTGCTATCCCGCAACCTCTCCGTTCTTGTCTTCCTCTGCCATACTTCATCCACTCCTACACTTCTCCTCTTATCCACTACACGGACAAATCTCTAAGGGAGACTTGGTTGGTTGAAGGTGTCTGATGCATAGACCGGTAAATATATACTACGATGTGGTGGCAGACGTAGCTTACTGCCCCTTTTCGGGCAGTCGGCGAAAGACTGTCACTCCTTCGGGCCCAGCATGATTTCTTGTATTGATTGTGAAGCAAGTCAAGTAGTTCATTCCATGTCCAAGTTAGAGCCCGCAGAGCACTTAGCTCATCCCGGAGAATATTCTGATCATCTTGTTCCGTGTACATATATCTTGATCGTAGTGTTGATTGTAATATCGGCGAATGGTGGGTTTGATGTTATCTCAGATATGACATATACGGAATTCGATGTGTTGTGCAGTCACCGCGCTTCTTCAAGATATGGGGGTGACACCTTGTATTTGGCAGACGGATGATTGCTAGAACGATCGGTATTGTGTACTGCGGATCCTCAAGAGGCATCATGGGCTGTAGACTAGACCCTAACGATGATTGACGGGAATTTGCTAGAGTGATGTATGAAGTGTCGTTGGGGTAGAGATGCTTGGCAAAAGAACTGAAATTTGCTGTGCCGCAACTACGTCCGAGGGCCTCCAATGACGGCGATTTCGTAGTCATCCTTCCTTTGTCTCGTACACCAGCAGCTGATCTTGTTCGTGCTGCTTCATTTAACGAAAAATGACCTGGTACTGGAATTATGGTCGAGCTTCAGGTGAGCGGTCAAAACCATGGCGGGAAAGGGCGATCGTCCAATGTGTTGTACCCATGTATCGCCGTCTAACTTGATTCCCTTTTCACTTCTGTTTCCTTTCACTCCTTAATCTACCCCCGGGCGGACTCAGCTATCCCATCAGGCAGCCACAATGCAAGCACGTCCGGCCTGGTACCGACGTGGGACCCTGAATTGTGTCATCATTGTGAGGTCGAACTGCTCGCCGACCGCATCGAGCAGTCGATTTGGTCCTCCGGCAGCGAAAGTACGTAGCAATCTGATGGCGTCAACAATTGGGGCAGTAGATAACATAGGTAAGACCAAGAGAGCAGGAGGGCCGCGAAAGCTGCTGTCGGGACAGGACTTGCTGCGATGGAGAGGAAGCATTCTGCGGAAAGGGCCAAGCTGGAGCAAGAGCGTGTGGAGATGCTGCGGCTGTTGGACGAGGATATCGCTGCTGATGAAGACGGATTGCGGTTTGAGGCGAAGTTTGAAGAGGGCTCTTAACTTTTCGTGAAGGCAGGAATGACACCGGCCTTTGTAAGTATTCAGACAACAAATTCACATGCAAATGCCACTCGTTTGAGTCTTGATTGGGTGTCACTGTAATGAATTTCATCAGCTGCTACCCGAGATTCGTTAAAAGATTCCCATGTCTTCCAGATTCTTCATCACTGGATCGACCTCATAAAAGGGATCAACCTTGATGTCATCGTCAGAACCGTCACTCTGGTCATCCACAATCCAATTTTCCCAGAATCGCAGTCCCTCAATGCCTTCCTCTCGACAAAGCGCGCCTCTCTCCTCTGCCATCTCCAGTTCCTCATTTGCGACACCCACGCTCCATCCAAACCTCTGTGCTGCTTCTTGAGCCGTAATGCCTCGGCCAAAAGCCTTGTGAACCCGTTCAACCTCAGTATGAGCAGATGAAGTGTACAACTCTTGAAGCAACGAGAGCAGTTGAGCTATTGTCTTGTCGTCCGTTCGGTCTGCTTGCTGAACGACCAGAAGTCCGTTTCTGAATTGCCGTAGTCGTACAGGTAATCTGAGTTTCTCCCATAACCGAGCGGCCTTCCCAAATTCCATGGGACTGATCAGCTCGACACCACCTCTGGCACGGTTGAACATCGCCCAAAGGTCAACCAGACTCATGATGCCTCCTTCTTTCCGCAAAATGCCCTTAGCGTCATCGGTGAGGTACTCCGCGAGGTTGCGAGACATTTCAGATAGATAAAGAGACTCGGAGCCAGCGCTGGAGCCAAGCATGTCTTTGGTTGTTACCATGTCCAATGCTTTGGCGGACTCGGCGATGAGCTGGTTGGCGTCCGCTGATCCTTCGTCAGATTTCTTCGCAAAGCTTTCAGCAAGAGCAACAACTTCCTTAGCCGAGACCATAAGAGCGTCAAGATCTTCGAATGCAGAACCTATGACTGCTTCATTCTTTTTCCGGAGCTCAAGACCTTGACGCTCAAGGCCAGCGATTCCGACTGTTCTTGCTTTTCCCGGTGGCTGTCGGACCTGACCATCTATGCCGATCGCTGTGCTACCAATGTTGCCTGGGGATGAATCTGGAACTGGAGGAGCGTTCTGAAGAAGCCATTTACGTTGCACCATGGCACCCTTGAGCCGTTCGTGAAATATCTTCTCACCGCCCACGCGAAAGGAAAACTTGACGCACTCTGTGTCGTTGTCGACGCCAAGGCTTGCGATGTCGAGGCTTGGACCAGGAGATTCGGGACGTCCAATGCTCTCTCCGAGAACGTTTGCCGCTTTGGATTCCGTTGAGAGTAGAGGAGCCCCACACAGCTCGCACGCGAGCAAAGATGGATGGTTCAGAAATGTGCATCTAGGGCACTGGAACCTGGACTTTGCTGGCAAAGCAGTTTCTTCACGCCATTGTGCTTCAATATACTCGATGCTTGAGTTCTCACTGTACTGACCATGACTCTCTAAAAGTGGTTGTACGGACGCTTGGCTCTGAGAATGAGAGCCTTGACGTCCTGCAGCGTTTGCAATGGATGCTTTGAGGACATGTGGGAAGGAAGGCTTGACTCCGCAGGTCACACATGCGGGCAGAGGCGTGTTGGAGTTTGCAGTTGCTGGATCAAAATTCGCTGGCACCGGATTGGAGAAGGAGCAAATCGTGCAGACCCATGTCGCAGTGCTCAATCTGGAAGTGCTGGATCCTGACCTGGTGCTCGAAAAAGGGCTTGCTCCGCGGTGTACCGGGGATGCAGTCGAGCTGCGCGAAGGAGATTGTGCCGCTCTCTGAGGAATGGGGATAGTGGAGTGACTACGACTTTGGACGGATGCACGCTTGGGAGCTTTGGGGTGCAAAGTGATTTTGGGAGAGGACTTCAAAAAGCCTGCCTGCGTGAATTTAGTATGTTGCTGATGCGTTCTGGAAAACCTCCCTGCTTACGTAGAACTCATATCTATCAACGCTCTTCAATTCGACTGCTATCGAGCTCTTTCGGGGCTCCAAATTATCGACGTAGCATGCTCTGTGCGTTGTGAGGTACGCATGCCCATTTTGCAGGCCGGGTATTTTGTACTTCCTATCCAAGTTTTCGAATTAGAGCGTTCTGTCAAATTGTACAGGGAGCCGCACCCTTCATATAGGCCGACTGCATCTTGGACAAAGAGTAGCGCTTCGTCAGGGAGCAAGGTTGGCCGGAGAGCAGTGGTGAGGTCCAGAGGCTGGAGGAACATTCAGTATCATGGCTTCAGCCAAAGTGACGCCCACTGTCTCTGCTCTCTGCCTACGTTCCGTATCGTCTATTCCAGTACGCGGAACCTGCCGCTGAACTAAACTTAGTTAGGTCTAGATCTAAATCTTCATTTCCACTCTCTTTTGGGCTCATTCTCTTCTTCCATACTTCTATCTTTCTCACCATTAACAACACAACTCCACGTCAGCCTAGTTACATGACTTCCAGCCTATTCATGTTAATGGTTTATCTCTTCTAGAACCCTTTCATTGTATTTCTCGACAACGTTCGGCGTTCCTCAATGAACATAGCAGCCTCGGCTTGGCAAGCAAGCTCGACCGTATCTCATCAAATGTCTTGTGTGTCCAATTTCTCCACCTCAACTGCGAGTCATGATACTGATCCTCACTCAGCCCATGGTGCCTTTACATCAGTCTCGGCGAGACGCACTTTTGCCAGGCCAACACCAGCACCATCCACAACACCATCACCTCCACCGTCAGCTGCAGAGAAGGCAAAACGAGACTGGCCTGAGTCTGTGCGTCATTATGTGCAGAGAGCATTCGCTACGGAGAACACTATAGCCAGTATACCCCGACAAGAGATGGAAATCAAATTAAAGAAAATCATCTCAAACTCAGCGGAAAATAACACTCTAGGCACAATCGATTGGGCGAAGCTGCCACTGCCCCAGCAAATGATCTTGGAGGAACGTGCAAGACCAGCTCTTTTGTCTGCGAATCCACCGTGGGGGAACGGTCTCGAGCCTCTGAGCCTGCAAGAAACTAATGTGAAAAGCACTGATACATTGTCAAAGAAGAGAAAGTCTTCCGAATTGGATCTATCCCAGAATGGCCAGGAGAAAGTACCACCATGGCGGATCGCTAATCCGCGCAACGTATTCGAGGACCGAATCACCCACCCGGACAAACGCCAGCGTAATGATGTAGCTGGAAAAGGATCAAGTAAGTCCCATCACAATCTGGCCAACCGGAAAAAACGCTTCGAGGATGGCCAACCTGGATACCTTTCCCAACAGCCGTTTTCTCCAAGCAAGGCCAGTATTCCACCTGATGTAGACCAAGGTCCCGTTATCGGTCGGTCTCAGGATCTTGAGAAAAGATATTTCCGTCTCACGTCTGCTCCAAACCCTGATACTGTCCGTCCACTGCCTGTGCTCGAGAAGACCCTTGAGTTTCTTAAGAGGAAGTGGAAGAAGGAGAACAACTACTCCTACATATGTGATCAGTTCAAATCTCTGCGCCAAGATTTGACAGTCCAGCATATCAAGACGGAATTTACAGTCAGTGTTTACGAGATACATGCCAGGATCGCGCTGGAAAAGGGAGATCTGGGTGAGTATAATCAGTGCCAGACGCAATTGCGCGCACTGTATTCGCAACATCTTGGAGGACATCCGGAGGAGTTCAAGGCTTATCGTATTCTTTATTTCATTCATACCTCAAATCGGACCGACATGAACGACGTGTTGGCAGATCTAACACCCACAGAGAAGAGAGATCCAGCAGTAAAGCATGCACTAGACGCCCGCTCCGCGCTTGCTTTAGCAAATTACCATCGCTTTTTCCAGTTATATTTGGACACCCCAAATATGGGCGCATATCTCTTGGATATGTTTGTGGCTCGTGAACGTCTGAATGCATTGTCAAATATATGCATATCGTATGTGGTATTCCTCGTGACTCTACTCATCGCTGACCTCTTCTGCAGGTACAAGCCCGACGTCAGGTTGCGCTTCTTCACTGAGGAACTCGGCTTCGAGTCTGACGATGAGAGCGCAAGATTCATATGTGATCAAGGCGGTCAATCATTCCTTGAGGAACGCGACGGCGAAGTGAGGCTCCTCACTGGCAAGGCTTTGAGATTCTTCGAGACTGCCAGGAACGCTGCTTTTAAGAAAGTGGACATTAAGGGCCAGATATGAATCTGCCACGCCCTTCGGTCATCCTGCCATCGATCATGTTCCCAAGCCTTTTACTCTTTTTACTTTCTTCAACCGCTAAGCAAGGGCTCCTCGAAGCACTGAGGCTGTTCGTCGTCTTCTATTGTCAAAATCGCGCTCTCATTGCCTTGGCTACGTTAGCAAGGCTTTCCTTCGCCTCAGACTGTCGGTCGCTCACGGCTACATGGGGTTCGGAGGTCTAGATGTCAAAACATTACTAATATCTAGGTATTCTCGCACTTCCATTTCTAAACACATTAGGGCTTAACATAGGGGGCTTGTAGACGGAGGCATGCATGAAGGATTGAAGGGGCGCTCGAGGTTGCGATCTAGTGGATTGGGAAGCTCTGTCCTCCACTTTGGCTACTGACTTGTTGTTCATGAGCATGACGATTCATCCTGTACTTGTCACAGGACTTGGGGCTTGTGGCAATGGGAGTCCTACTTTTGCCACCCAAGTCAAGGGACACAGATTACCGGTAGCGTGCACGGAGAATTTCAGATTCTGCAAAGAGCTGCTGTTACGGATCTGCTCTGAAGGTCTGGGCGAGAAGGGGAGAGGATCATTGGTGCAGGTGCATGTAACCCTACGCGCTGCCTCCGTAGTCTGGCGAATCTCGTAAGCGGGAGAAAATTGCCATGTGATCCCTTCATAGAGGTACTATACTACTGGCTTTTCCTACAAGGACCCTAGCCAAGGACCCACTGCTTATGTGACGTGTGACAGCGGCGAGAAATACCTCCATCTCATGCATTCATACTGCAAGTACTCAGTACAATGAGGGAGATAGGGTAGAATTTTGACTTGGCAAGGCTTCACGCCTGCAGGTCTA